GTTATGATTCTATAAAGTCTAAGACGAATTTATAAGTCTATTAGGTGCGTGGCAAATCGGACCTGAAGATATAGTGATTTTTTCAATTCTGCTATATTTAGGACACTATTGATGCCAGAGGCCTCAAATTTTGTTTATATACTCGGGCTGATCAAGACAAAAAAGTTTTGTCGGATATGTTTCCGCCCACAAGGGGCGTGGCAAACCGCAAAAGTTTATATCTCCTAAAGTATAATAGCTAGAAGCTTCAAATTGAAATAGTTAAGTTACCAGTAAGCTCCTCTATCGATGACCCAAAAATATTTTTTGCGCCTCTTTAGGGGCGTGGTATATCGAAAAATACCCTGTAATTTTTTGAGGGTAATCATTCAAACTTTGTAGTTAGGGTACCGTTATCACGTTCTAGGAACTGACCAAAAATGAGGTGTCTACGCCTAGTAGGGGCGTGGCAAATCGGGAAAAACTGCATTTTCTACAGTATTCGAGTGAAACTTAGTGGTGGGATATGAATGAGTATTCCGCAGTCGGTAACGCCCGACTGCAACGTTCTTACTTGTTTTAATTGTATTGTTATATGGTCCATAAAAGTAAGTCTTTTGTCCGGTATAATACCCAAGTACCTGACATTTGGTTCTCACTTCACATATTACAATTTTATTTATCTATCAGTCGACGTTGTTAATAAATTCAATGTAAATAAATAAATTMAATTCTAATATTTCAAGCCAAATATTTGAAAATATACTTTAAATTGTTAAATTATATTTCAATTGTTTAACGAATACACAGGAAATCAGTTTAGAATAGCATAACAAAACAATATAGTCTTTCAATCGGGTATAACAGACTGTCTCACTCGTTCAACACTCGAGAATTTGCTAAATTATTTGTAAACATATGTATTTGCAAAATTAAACATTTCCAAAATATAAGTATACAAAAATACAAAATTTAAGTAACTTTTGTTTTGAATAAATAATATAATATATGCTGAGCTAAACATTAATCTATCAAAATTGTAATACATCTCTGAATACGGCCAATCCATTTTAAAGCTTATTTTGTTGTAAATTACTCACATCGAGTCACAGTCAGGCAAAAGGATAATCATCAAGGAATTAATTAATACAAAACTAAACAAAACACAACAAGGCAAGTCAGGACTAGATGGCTAAAAGACCATGTCAAATTTGACATGCAGTTCAATGCGGAATGGTCTCTGCCAACAAAGAGCTGACATATTATATAGGGATGTGACGGAAGTTGAACACTTTGGAGAACAATACGCTTCATGCAGTGCAGAGGACAGAGAGAGAGAGCTCTTAGCCAACATGAGATTGAACGCTTAGGCTTTATTTTGGTTTTAGTTGCTGACAATCGAGTGATAAAATCGAAATTTAAGGCTGTCTACTATCTGCTAAATAAGTGTGACCCATAATTGTCTCGATTGTCTAGAGTTCCGCTTGGCCGGGTCTCGAGTGCCTGTCAGCCTGTCAGCCTGCAGGGTATGCAACACTTTTTTCGGCAATCTAAAGGAAACGAAAAACGTTCGTGAAATGTGCAAAGGAAGCAATAAAAAGAGCACACACGCATATATATATATTTGTATATACACAGACAGAGAAAAGGGCTAGCGCTACGAATAGCGACCACATCCTTCGAGCACAAATCAAAAGAAAATGTCACAATCGCCGTCGCTGCAAACGCCGCCAAGCGCAGCTACTGCGCAGCAACTGCGGGCCAAGCAGTTGACTCTCAGCGGACAAAGCGTAATGCCTAGAAATAGGGCTAGGTCATTTATGGAGCCCAAAACTTTGTGTGTGTGCGTGTAGTAGCTGCTAACAAGACATGCCCAGCACACAGACGTACACGAATAT